ATACGGGCTTCCCTGGGCACAGTGATTGTACTTGAGAAGTTCCTTGCAGAGGACTTGGAAATAATGCCTATAGAATTTTTATGAGAGATGTTGGCTCCTGTGGGCTAGGAGACTTTTAAGCCAGAGGGATTCGGCAATGGTCCTATGTGACTCTCATGACCTTGAACCTGAACTACCACGGAGAGGGGGAGGGTGTTCAAAGAGGGCTCTGTGGGCTGCTGCCCTGGCAGCAGTGAGAACTGCTCCCAGGAGAGGAGCAGTGGCCTGTCTGGAAGATCATGATTCTAGCCTACATACGGAGCACGTGCCAAATAGAGCCATCTGAATGCTTAATGAAACCTAGGAAGTCCTCATGAACCCCTGAGCAGCATTGCATGTGGGTTCAAAGGATGTCAAAATCACAGCATTTTTGCTACAGTGGTAAGTTATATCAATGGAAGTATAAAGTCTAGAACATGAGACAGATTTTAGCCAAATCGTGAAAAATTTAAATGCTAGACTGAGGAAAATGGATTGTAACCTAAGTTTGGGAGGAGAGTAGGACCCTGACAACTTTTAAGTGGAGAGTTCACATGATCAAATTTCTTTTTAAAGCACCGTATCAGAAAATCTAGTCTATACCACCTGCCGGAGGGGAGACCTTCAGTCAAAGATGAACTGATGAACGAGGGCCTGTCTAGATGGCTGAAGGATTGACACAGAAGGCTAATGCCTAAGTATTTCTGAGACAGGATGCCTGCACTCAGGGGAGGGAGGGTGTCCTAGGGTGACCTCTAGTGGGGAGATCTGATTTGAAATGCACTGCAATTTACCTGCTTGAACCCCCTGTCACAATCCTGCTCCAGTTTAAGTTGCCATAACTTAATTTTTAAAGGCTACTCAAGATTTTCTAATAAAAAGTACAAGTACATTGAGGTAGTTATAACAGTAAAAAGAAAAAAGAAGAAATGCTTTTTGTCAATAAAACACCTTTTTCTCCTTTGGATTAAAAAAAAAGAAAAGAAAAAATGACTTCTACACTGAAAAATAAAGTTGAGAATTAAAGGCTACTCAAGATTTTCTAATAAAAAGTACAAGTACATTGAGGTAGTTATAACAGTAAAAAGAAAAAAGAAGAAATGCTTTTTGTCAATAAAACACCTTTTTCTCCTTTGGATTAAAAAAAAAGAAAAAATGACTTCTACACTGAAAAATAAAGTTGAGAAAATAATTTTCCAGTATTTCTTTTCCTAAATCATCTGATGTGCATGGGGACTGTCATCAATTACACAAATGAGAGACGCGCACAGACATTCAGCCCTTTCCGTCCCTTACTCCTCCGTGAGCTATCCATTCTCATCTCTCTTTCTCAACCTCTTTTTCTCTTAAATTAGTCTGCTTCTCCATCTTCCTTCTCCAGGGACGACCCCCACTTTTTCTTATTTGCACTCCTAAGAACTGAATGGTTTAATGGTTTAAAACTTTAAAATGGAGCAATATTCACTTTTCCAGATAAATCTATACCTTGAAACTCCTTTAATCTTTAGCTACCAAAGAACTGAAAGACTCTCAAATTACAGGAAATGCCCTTGAAGTGTTAGGAATGATGACAGTTTTTCAGCTTTTCTGTAAATGTGTGCCATAAAATGAGAGAAGAGCCAAGGAAAACACTCGTGGAAGGAGTACTATCTTGTTTCTAAATTCCTTGAAGTTCTCTGCTCTTACACGCTTTTTTCCCCTTCTACATCCTCATACGTTGGAACAGCAAAATGTACCTACAAATATCTTGTGAAGCTGAAACTCTTTTTGTTACTAGAATAACAGAACAACAAAACCCCTTGTTAAAGCACAGAAATCTTTCTCCCAGAAAAACTAGTAGTCAAAATGTAAAGTCCATTTTTGAACTTGTCCTCTCTCAGAAGGATAAGCCAATAAGCATGAAGAAAATAGAAGCATAGCATATGAACCCAACCAAAGTTATTTAGACCATATTCCTATTCATAAGTATAAAAGGGGTTTCCTCCAGCCAAAAGCTAAAGGATAGCTTCGTGGGTCCTATTAAACATGTTTAAGACATTTTTCTTCCTTTTGTCTCTCCAGGAAATCAATGTCTACACCAGATGCTTTCACGCAGGTGGTAAAACTACTGTAGGCTTTGCTAACTGTAAGGTCTTTAAAACAATTCCCACCTAGAATAGTGTCGTGTCTTTTTGAGATCAGTCATCTTTCCTAGTAACCCTAACAAGCTGTGAGAATCCTGAAACACAAGTCAGAGAAATTATAACAGGAAAAGACTTGAAAATTTCAAAGAAAAAATATGCAAGTGACCTAAGAAGCTTAACAACTTGGTATGTCTATGAGTTGAATTTCAGGTAAGGAGAGAGGACGGAGGAGTGTTTGATGAAGTGGGGTATGTTCTCTCCCTTAAGTCCGGAGTGCCTGAGCAGCCGACAAGCGGGATGCAACAAGCGCACAGACAGCATCCAGCTGGTGACATATGCAGGGCACGTCGGGGCCTCAGGTTAGGACACCAGGGCCGCTGACTTTGCCAGCGTTTTGTGAGTAAAGAGAATCTGTTATGTGGAGGACACAGGGCGCTCCGCCACGGGATGACTGTGTGTGAGCCTCGGCAGGAAACCTAAGCCTCACTACCCCCAACTGTGAAATGGACCCTATTAGTTGCCTATTGCTGCTGCAGCGAATTACCACAGACTCACTGGCCTGAATCAACACTGATGTATTACCTTACAGTCTGGAAGTCAGAGATCCGAATCAGGTCTCTTGGGCTAGAGCCGACATACCAGCAGGGCTGCATTCCTTCTGGAGGCTCTGGGGGAGCACTCATTCCTTTACTTTTCCACCTCCTAGAGGTGCCTGATTCCTCAGCTCGTGTCCCCTACCCCTTCCATCTTCAAAGCCAGCAATGGCCAGTCGAGCCTTTGTCAGCTGGCATCACTGAGACCCTGCCTCCCTTTTCCACTTAGAAGAAGGGACCCTTGTGATTACACTGGACCCACCGTGTAATGCAGGATCCTCTCCCATCTCAAGGATATCTGATCGGCAGCCTTACCTCCCCATGCCATGTGGCAGAGCACAGTCACAGACTCAGGGGATGAGGATGTGGGCATCGCTGGGGACCATTATTATGCCTACAACAGACCTCATAATGTTCTTGTGAGAAATGAATGAAATGACAATGCAATGTGCAAAATGTTTATACAACATCTATGAAAAGTCCTCAATAAATGTGACTCACATACAGACTTTAGAGAAGGTAAATAAGACTGACCAACTATAACCTAACTAAGCTCATTCAAAGTAAACAAGGAGGTATATAATGGCTAGATGTTTGTAAGGTCCTTAACTGAGCCTTCCTATTTATATCCAGTACATTCTGAATCACCCCCATTTCTATCTCCTTTATAATTCAGGTCCAGTCACATTATAGACTAAAAGCATCCTCACATTCGCTTTCATGAGATCACTGCTTCAGTAGTGACAATCAGAGTTTGCTAAGGGAAAGTGCCAATTTGCTAGTGTTAACACCAAGACATGGTTACTAAGCAAGCAGGACACATCTCCAAAGAGAAGTGACAGACACGGAACCTCAAGTGGGAACCTTTGACAGGAAAGTCGGGAGCTCCTACGCTCATTATGCTCCATTCAGTTCTGAGATCTAAATTGCTCCTGATTTTTCATCTTTTAATCACTTCACACAAGCTAAGTGTCCTTGGGAGACACTACAGAGGGTGGCACATACCTTGTCCCATTGATTCTAAATTAATTTGATCTTTTAACTGCCAGCTACTATGTCTCCTAGGCTGATAAAAAAAAAAAAAAGTAGGCGTAGGGTGACCTTTTTTCTTTTGCACAAATAAAACCTGTGCAGTAGAAGTTGTGGGTTTTGTCAAAATTACAATTAATACTTATTTTCACTTGCACTGAAATACAAAACTTTGACTACATCCAAAAATATTTTCATAATAATAAAAGCAAATAAAAGTAACATATGTAGGAATTAATTTGGTTTAATATAAGAACTTTGTCTAATACTGTTCAAAACATAAGTATACCTCTTGAAAGGGTATCAACTGCTACCTGTGACACCTTTTCCCCTGGAGACTCTTACCATTAACTTAAAAAGTATATTAAGTAGAGATAACTCTCACAGAAATATAAAATAGATGCATTAGCTTCTTAAATCAATACTTTAAACTTACCCTGTTAAAATAATACCCATATTCAATAAAGTAATATTTAATAAAGTAAATGCTTTATTTCAGTCAATATGCATTCATTTATTATTCATTTATTTCATATTCAATACAGTCAATGTTTTTGAAGTTGAAAGGGTCACAATTATTACCTTTGTTATTTAAAAGATGTGTTAAATCTCAACTATCACTAGGACTATTACATATTATCAATCAGTATACTGTTGATCAAATAATAGATCTATGTGTTTGATGGCTATAACAAGAAGTCTTGAGAAAAATGTTCTGGGTTTACACTGACTCTATAAAATAAGAAATTACTGTCAATTGTATAAACTACAAAATATTTAACTCTATATTTGTAATTCCTTTGATATGATAAACCAATGACTACAAAATAAAAGTAAAATGAAATGAGAATAAATTTCAGACCAAGAGCAATGGGAATTGTCTTTCTCCTTGAAAAGTTTGAATGAGAATTCTCCTAGTAAAAATTAAGTATTAATTAGCTCCCTGAGGCAGTGGGACTGACTCTGGGCGCTCACTAGCAGACTTGCCAGCAGCAAGGGCCTAACCACTGAGGAGCCACCTTACCTCTCTACGTCTTTGTTTTCTCTCCTCTTTAAGAGTATTTGTTGTTTGAAGCTCTGGGAGTTCACACAGATGCTCGTCTTACAAAGTGAAAGACTTGACATCTAGAGAATTGGAATGGCTTCAGGTAGACAAAGCAGAATATGCCCCATTTCTTATATCTGGGGTAGGTACCAGTGAAAACAATGACAGATTCTCGGTGTGGTCCCCACTCACCCGGTACACTGCGGAGTGGAGGAGGAGGCACATTATTTATGGCTATCATGTGAGACAAAATAGCTGATGAGAGAGAAGACATAGGCATCTCGATGACTCAAAGGCAGCTAGCTGGTCAGAGGCTACTTGAAGGCAAACGGCTTCTCTTTTCCTTGGGGTGTCATAAAGCAGAATCCCAGGGTGGTCTCTGATAGGCTGAGAACTACGGAACCTCTGCGCTCACAGTCCACATACCCTGTGCACCACAGTTCCCAAAGGGGACTCTAGACCAGAAAGCGCACCGCCTAGTCCAAGGGACTTTATGAAGGGAGCTTTGTGAGATTCCGTGAGAGGCAGGAATGAAGAAAGAAATTATAATCCGCAAGGCAGATACAGGAGTCAACAGCAAACATGATGAGACCAGGTTAGATGGAAGAATCCACTTCAGTTGTCTTCCACAGCGCAGAGCCCTTTTCCTATCTACTACTGTTTCCACTGGGTATCAGAGCGCCTTTTTGTAGCAGCTGCAATGGGATATTTATACCTCTCTCCACGGCTACATACGCAGAGTAAAAACATCCCTTCCATTACCACACACCAATAAACATGATTGTGAGAACATAACCAGCACCGAATGATCACTTTTCTGCAAGACAGCAGACGCCCCACACATATTTCTCTCTCACAACCCCACGAGGTAGGGACGATTTATTAGCTCTATTTTATATGTGAGAAAACTAAAGTACGCAGAGGTAATTAACTTGGGAAGATCATAAAGGGCAGAGCAGGTCTTACTTTTCACCCTTAGCAAAGGGACCAGAGCGGCTGGGCCTGAAAGGGATCATCAAGAGCTGGCGCGAGGAGGAGTGGCCAGCATGCCTCTCTCGCTGCATACCCTCATCTTCCGTACTGTATGCCCATTCCATCAAAGGAAATAGGTAAACGAAGTCTTTGAACATTAATTTCTAGAAACTAAGAATGATATATAAATTTAATGCCCTGAACACCTGGGGTCTTTGTCTTTCTCGTCGTCTTCTCTCTCTGTCTCTCTGTCCCTCTCAGACCTGCCTCTGAGAGGAGACCATGCTTTATCTCTGGAGCATAACCTCTTCTCTGAGAAACTTTCTTTTTGACGCTTAGCTCTGCACGCACTTGAACTCTTTCCTGAGCTCAGTCAAGAACTCTCCCTCGGTACAGGGCTTGAGCTCCCCTCAGCTCAGGAAATTGCCCCGTCCTGCATCGCCGTAAGGAGACTACGTCTTATCCATGAATTCCAACAATTGTTTTCCCTGTCTACATCCTTCAGAAAATACCCATAAAATTTTCGGATCTCATGTATAAAAAAGGATGCCATTTTAATATAGAAATCAATATGAAGATGAACCCAGATGCAATTTTTTAAAAATTGAGGGTAGTTCTCCAAAAATATGATAATACCAGACAACTGCTTTCTTAAAACATACAAATAAACTATCTTTCTTAAATAACTTAATAATCTAACCAACAGGATCAAAGTAAGACTTCATCCCAGCCCTTTTTATAACTATAAAAATTCAGAAGGAAAGGCATTCATGGAGGATGACTGTTTAAAATGAGCAAGATGTTATCAACTGCTGATGATGGTAAACAAAAAACAACTAAAATGAAATCAACTGTTCAAGGAAATAATTAAACATTGTCACAACTACGTAGTCTGGAAAACTAGTGCGACGACCAGAAGTCCTTGTCAGACTTGATGGTATTAGCAATTCTCATGATGGCTTTCAGATAAAATTATTCAAAACGCATTCAATATATCACAAAACTTTAGAAATATATTCTCTTGCTGATTTTAAAATTCTTTCCCTTATAGGTAGTCACAACCAGATGGCATCTCTTATTGAAGAAAGACTTTTCCTAAATAAAATAGATAAATAATAGAAAATGTTTACATTATCCAGACTTTTAAACAGGGTAGCATGTTGAGCCATTCATTTTACTAGATTATGCACGAAGTGCCCTAGTTTTTTAAATGTCTGTTTAAAATTCACTCTGAAAGTCACAAACTATTTGTGCTCCAAGCTCTGAGTTTATTTGATAGAAATTTACCTCAACAAGGCGAGAGAAGGCTAACTTATAGCATTTCTGCTTGAATTTCCATTCTCACAAGAGTAATAATTGAATGACCAATCACATCCGTGGACTAAATTCCAATTGCCAAGCTGAGTGATTTCCATTATCTCTTTCTTAATTTGATCTTTGCAAAAGTCTATGAGGCAGAAACTGATAGTATCCCCATTTTACAAATTTGGAAACAAGTCTTGGTTATGATAGATAATTTCTCTGGTCTTCCTGACACTGAAATGCATCTCCAGGATTCAAATTCTGGCTGGCTTTTCAGCCTGTTAGTCTAGCATCCATTCAAGCAAAGGAAAACATGTTCAATAGTCATTTTCCCAGATCTATTTTAAATGTTAATGCCTCTTGTGAGAAGAAAAATTTTTTAATTTAAGCAAGTGAGTGTTCTTAACAAAAACGAGCACTGCCCACCCCATTGTTCCTGACTGCTGTGAACATTGGCTGGCATGTGTTCCTTAGACGCACAATCTACTTTTTCTCAACTTTTCCCCAGATATGGAACTTTGAATTCACAACATTTTACTCTGCAGGTGCTCAAAATTCATTTATATTTAAAAGCACAATATCCACTTTAAACTCAGAAGGACGTGAACCATGTCTTCCTGATCTAAAAGGAAAAAAAACAAAACAAAACAGTAAAGTCCCTTTTTTCTTTCTCTCTTGTATTTTCTTCAGTGACTTAGATATTCTCAAAGACTCACTTGGCTAAATTCACATCTGCCTAGGAAAGCATCTGGAAGGGTCACCGAGGTGTGCATAGCACATGATTCCTTGTCCAGTCTTGTCCTGGACACAGCCCTACTTTCTAGCTTGTGGGATCGTGTGGCTTGAGGAGTGAAAGATGGACATGGCAGCATTCATGGAGCCTGTGAATGGCACGTGGTGTTTCCTTCTCCGTGGGCTGAATCTCCTGCTTTCTGTGTCCTGAACACACGGTTCTCCTTTTCATTTGTGCAGCAGGCAGAACTGGACTTACTACTTCACTCAGTCTAGGTTCAACTTTCTGAAGGTCATGTAATGAATCAGGAACAGAGTTGTGACTGAAGCCAGGATTACAAATTCTTTGCCCAGTCAAGTTCTGCCTCCTGCTCAGCGTCCCTTCCCTCACTCATTAGAAGTGAAAATTATTCTCCTCTTCACCCAATAACTTGCAGCGCTTCCCAGTTTACCACACCGTAAGTGACTTTTCGGGAGATACCATTCACAACGTCAAATGAGCCTCTTCTCATCTTGTCTTTTTTTTTTTTTTCTAATGTAATCTCATTGTCATTTAGGCTTGACATTTCAGAGATCTGAACTCCAACGCACTGTACTATTCAAAGATGCCCAGGACGTGTGCCGAGCCGCGCTTTTCCCCAGTGATTCAGGAAGAACATTCTTCCTTCTTTATTGCTCCAGTCTTCCATTCTACACTTCCCCAAATCACCATAATTTGCACCACACAGTGCACTATCTGCACGAGGTGTCCTGTAGCAACTTCTGAAATGGCCTATAATATTAGAAACATTGTGCTATTTTGGCATAAAATATTGCTTAGGTAAATATCCACTGTTGTGCATTTTTTTCTCTAGAGAACTATTAGTCACATTTTATTGCTCAGAAAGAAAGCCTGTTATCAGTCATATTTTTCCAGAGTTTATTATTGTTGTTGTTGTTTGTTGGCTGCTGTAGTTTAAAACTGTATTTTAGTGCTTACTAGCTAGACACAAAGTCTTTGAACAGAAAATAGGTATATGTGTTCATATATTAGTAAAAGCCAGGTCATGTAAAAGAGGGCTGATGTGCATTTGAATATTTTTATAAAACATTATTTTGTTGCATGGTATCTGCAACAAACATAGAACAGGTTTACAGGCCATGACATGGCTGAGTCGAAGCAAATTCTTGACCTCATCAGGTCAAATACAAGACAGGAACAACTATCCAGCAAAAGCGGGCTGGAACACAGCTCTGGAGCACATCAACTCCGATACTTTATCTATTTTCCATGATATAACAAATTGTCCTCCAAAATTGTGCATGATTCACTTTTTTGATGGATTGGATCTGAAAAAAATCCTATCTGATTTTCAAGGCTTGAACTGCTGCTTCCTCTGTCAACTGCATCAGCCAGGATTTGCTCAGAGAAGCGGAACCACTAGGAGATACATGGAATAAGGGATTTATTATAGAGACTTGAGCTTATACAGTGACACAATACAAATCTACCTCATCAACTCATTGCTAATCTTTGAACTTATCTAATTTCCATTTTTCCTCAAAACTACCAAATCACCATGCAAGATATATTCAAGAGAACAGAACAACACGGTTCAAAATGGTATCTGCACACCGACTCCAGGATAATTCCTCCAAGCTTTCATTAAGTCAGTCATAAAAATTTCGTAAAAGACAAAATATATAATATCAGAAATTAAAAGTGTTAAATAACATAATAAAATCTGGGAGAACTCCATGAAATTTTAAAGCACAAAGAGTAAGACTGATGAGAATCTATCTACCTGTTATAGGTTTAACCACTTCCCCCCAAAATGATAAGTTTAAGTCTACTAAAATAATCAAAGAGAATAATTTAGTTTATCTACGCAAAATTTATTTTAGACTTCATGAAGCAGGCAGTCTCCACTTTCCAGAGTCTAGAGAACTACAAAACAAGGCACAGAGATGTAAGCTTTTACAGAAGGCGGCAATCAGGGAATAAGGAAAGCACATTTAGCTCAAGTTGATTGGCTGGGGTTGCACATCTAACCTTATTTAGAACAAGGAAATCATTAAAATTTCTTGGCAGTGCGTGATTGGCTGGCTGGATATTTTGCATCTTTGGTCAAGGGGATCTTTTATAGGAACACAAAAGTTATCTGGATTTCAGTTTGCTGAAGTGACACCGCAGCAGAAGTGGCTCCATCTTGAGCCTAGAAATTTATTTCAGTATGTCCTACCTCAAAAGGTGGCCTCATTTGTAAATAGAATCTTTACAGAGATAATCAAATT